TTGGTACGACCTCCAAGTGAGTCTTGTAACAATCTAGTTAACTTGCTTTCCCTGCAAAAAGAAACAACAACATAAGAAGCAATTAAAACCTTCGTCCACCATACTTACAGTTACTCGCGTTATACTCGTTAAAGCCAAGCTAGCAATTTACCTGTAAGGAATATGTGGAGCCCTCTCAACCAGAGCAGTTATCACTCTTCCCAAAGTTAATAAACTTTGGTTGATTGTTCCTGGAAAGAATCAGATAATAAGTGTTAAAAATAACATTTTAATATACCACATCACCAAATTGTGACACGACATTTTTCAGTGCGGAAAAAATTTAAAACGCAATATCTGATGCGGCTTAATGTTACGTACTGTGAGAGGCATTTACAGACCGAGAAACTATAAGAGTACCGTCGTTGACCATGGTCCATGTTTTCCTGTGTTTCTATTAACTATGATGTTTTATTCCGCTATATTTTTCTTACTCAACATATAGCATGGCCATCGGAGCTGTGTAAAAAATTGCGTTGAAAGCTGCAGACAAGATTGCTTCGTGTAACATGATTAAGGAGTTAAAGAGTTTTGTAATAATCGGTTCTTTTCGGTATAAAAACCGTTTTATGAATATATCGCATTTATATATGCAATACCCGCTTCTCGTAGGCGCTTATCAACTGCGCCAGATCTTCCAACGTTTTCACTGCCAGCTAAATCAACCAGGTTCAGTTTCCCCGTCTTCAACATCTCCTCTCCTGTTACGGAACTTTCTTTAATGTGAACAGTGACTGAGAATAACGAATGTGAGCGGCTAGACAGAGAAATAGCGAGATGTAAAAAATTGCCAGAAAATATGGAAAACATATTCTACAAAACACTCTGCATTACAGGCCTTAAAATATCGGTCGGTCACGGACATTGTCCGACCCATTCGTGAAATTGTCCGACGTAGAGAAGAAACCACCGGACATTCTGTCCGACCTAAGTGAAACTGAGGTTTATTGTTTGTCCGACCCGAGTGTATTGATGTCCGACCGAACTGTAGCTTTGTCCGACGTAAATCAAAATGTACCCTAGCCCAGGAGGCCAGGACTAGAGGCAGGCTTGTATGTTAAATGGAAAATCAGAGTACTATTGTATAAAAGGTCAACTGGAAATGTTGTTTTAACGTAGTCGAGCGCGGGGCGGCGAGCGAAATGGTGAAGTGGAAAACGGGCTTAAGTTGTGGAAGTCTTTTTGATACTGCTGTTCTGGAAAGCAAGTTAATTTTGGCTTGGAAATAAGTATGAAAGAAACAAATTATTTAATATTTTTACAACATTTACCGTTTATTCATTTGTGTCATTCAGACTTATTTCCGAGTCAAAACTGAACTGAAGGTCATCGGACATATGTCCGACCCAAACTCAACGTCATCGGACATTTTGTCAGACGGCCCTGGAAAAGATATTTTAAGGCCTGACTGCATGCATGCAGGTTACAAGTGTTTAGAAATTACCTAAAAATAATCCTACTTAATATTGCTGGTTATTTTCCAGGTTATTTAAACCTTCACTGTATTGTTAACTTGACCAGGACTGTGATTAAATCTGTGATATAGATACTGGCCAGGGGCCCCAGCTGGATAAATAACCAGCAGCTATGTACAGTATTACACGGAGTCAAAAGCCAAACCATGTTATTTGAATTTTCAAACTATATAATCATGTCTGTATAATTTCCACAGAAGTATACTGTACCTGGAGTGCGCATTCATCAGAGTGGCCGCGGTCTGTCTTTTGGCTCTTCCTTTTTCTAGGATTTCATAAACTTCATTTTTATCTCGCACAATAGTCTCTTCCAGGCCTTGCACAAAAACCGAGCCCTACGGTACATTCAAGAGAAACAATTCAACTCTTTATCGTAACATTCGCGGGGCCCTAGGGACGAGGATGCCGTTGAATCGATATAGCTCAATTATCGCAGATTAATCTCTAATCTGTGGCTTAGATTTTTGTTTTTCTTTTTTTTTTGCAGTGTAAAGAATAAATACATGGCCAAATAATAGCCAATAGGTATCGAGTTATCGTTGAACCTGTTTTCAGTTTGAAAACACTAACTTTTCTTGCCGAGTCTTCAAATATGCGTAACTTCTGGCTGTCAAGACTCGAGCCCAAAAGATCAAAAAGGTCTTCGTTGTAGATTTCCAAGAACGAGACTCGCACGGAAAATTCACATTCCTAAAATTTATTGAAAATAAAGGAGGTAGCCATTTATATATATTGTACGTTAGGAGTGGAATGGCTGGGGGGGGGGGGGGCTCTAACCCTGCCCAAAGGGTCTTGGAGGTGGATAATAATTGGGTATACTTACCTTATCAAACCAATAGCTATAATTGCTGTATTTGAGGCCTCTGGGCTGGGCCTCGTGTAGCAAAGCAACCTTATCAAAGCTTATTTTTCAAACACCAGGTTTTACTTCATGGCCAACTGTGCTAGTAGTACAAAGCTGCTGTATTGTATTTAGAGCAATTTATGAAAAATATTTAAGCTTAAAAGATATAAAACACCACAGCTTACTGGCATAGCTTCCAACCTCTCAAACAGTTGTTGCATAGCCCGAGGTATAATTCCAGCCTGAGGTTCCTATAAAGTACATCAGTGAAAAATATTCAAATTAACCTTAAGTTTCATGTCAGATTATAATAAAGGTTCGGTCACACGGAGCGACAAGTCGCAGGGGCATGTTGCAGGGACATGTTGCGGGGTCGAATTTCATCGTGTGTCACATGTGTAAGCGTTGTCGCGGGGACAAAAATTTGTGCCCGCGACATGTCACACGAAATCAAATTGATTTGATTTCATGCGACGTGTCGCGGGGACAAAAACCGTTGCTGCGACTTGTTGCATCGTGTGAGCTAATCTGTTTACAAGTCACGGGGAAATAATTAGTCTGACCAATCACAAAATATCATTCCCATGACTACTTGCACGCTCAATTTCAATGCGACTTGTCGCATGAATTGTCGCCTCGTGTGACCACACGCCTACAAGCGTTTGTGCGACTTGTTTTCGCCTAGCATTGTCGCTTCGTGTGATTCGTTTCGGGCGACATGTCCCTGCAACATGCCCCTGCGACTTGCATGTCGCTCCGTGTGACCGAACCTTAAAACAATTTTTATTATACAGTATAATGTGTAAAACTAAATATACATACTTTGTCCCAAGAACCACCCTCAGACGTTTTCTCACCCTCCATTGTAAATGTCTTTCCTGTTCCCGTTTGACCATACCTAGACAAAAACAAACATATTTGCCACAAAATATACATAAACATTATTTCTGGCCACACCCAGGTGCTTTAGAATGATAAATAGGGTAAAGTGGGAACATTAGATCAAGTGCCATGTTATGTGATCCAAAACCCCCATGGATGTGCACTGAGCTGGCCAATCTTCCTGGTGAATTATAGAACCTTCACTCAAAACATTCTTGTATTTTTCAGCTAGTTGCATTCCTACCAGTTACTATTGCCACTTATTCCTACACTGACACAAACAGTTTAAATATAACTCTACATTAATTCAATTTCACTATGTGATCCCATGTGTTAATCTGATCTATTGACCTCATTAACACTCACTCCTTTCTAATGGCCCGTACAAGTAAAATCATCTGGCAGTAAAATTGTCTTCAAGCCATTAAGTTTCATTATGCCCTAGTACACTCTACTTAATTATTTTACTCAGTCTAACAGCAGATGATTTCATACTCATCAAGGGGGGGGGGGGGGG